TTAATGCAAATATGAGTAATTAGAATGGCATAAGTTATCAAAGTCATCTGTGGCAACTGAAGAATGCAGACCCATATTATCTTATTGAACCAAGCAGACAAAAAAAATTAAAATTTTTGAGCGAATCCTTTAAATTATTCAGCATCCGTGAGAAAGGTGTAGCTTCAAAACCTCACAACAAAGACAGTGCATCTTGTAGTTGTACACCCTATCAACTTACCAGTAATTCTAAGCCTCCTTTGGCTTGAGTTGTTATGGCGTAGCCTGGTTTTACTGTCTGCATGCAGTTGGAGCCATAGGTAGATACCGCCAAGATGTAACCTTTACCATCTTCCATGATTTTTATCGCTCTTTCGACCATTCGTATGAAGCATTTTGGATAAATCTCTTGGAAATAGTCGTAAGTGGCGAAATCGTCAAATTTGCCAGAAGCGATAGTTTCTTTGTAACTCGCGTCCGCTTTCTTGGCTGCTTCGGTTTCCGCTACTGATGACACACCAATGGCAGCTCCGGCGTTGTGTACCAATGCATTAAGCTGTTTCCGAAATTCTTCTCCACGCAATCAAAGATTGCATCAACAGCTTCAGGTTTAACAAGGTCTCCTTTCACGACAAAAACTTGGACTCCATGTTTATCTTCCAGGGTCTTCTTGGCCTGTTCGGCGCGTTCTGTGTTGGCGTTGTACGTAAGAATCAAATGGCTGTAGCCATTGCTTGCCAGTTCCTTAGCAGCATCAAAGCCCAGACCTCGGGTTCCTCCGGTGATTATACCGAACATGCTGAACTTGAAGACGCGTCAGCAGAGAATGTAGTACCTGTAGAAGCTTCCAAGTGTATCAGACCAGCTGGTCTCAGTGGGAGGGGCGATAAACAAATGCAACTGGTCAGGCAGCAATTACTTCTGTCAAGAGAATAATAACTGTTGATATTCTCTTGCCTCCGTCATATCATGTACAGCCTCTCATAAGTTGGATGTTCCATTTAATTTCCGCCACCTTTTCCTCTGTATGGCACGCCTAATCGAAGAGCTTTTAAGTAACCACAGGTGTGAGACTCTGAATCTGACCTAAAATTTAGACAGTTTGCCAATTCTCAATCGCGACGCGTCTCGATGATCTGTTTGCTGCCCTTTCTTACTCTTTATTTTACAATGAAAACTCAACTTGGGGTTGTTCTGTATGGTAGCAATTTCAATGTACTTCGGAACACCGAGTGTAAAGTTTCGTATCCCACTCATCTATGAAGGATTACTACCCACGGCGGAGACTTTCAAAGAGAAGAACTCATTATTAACTCTTAACTTCTTGCAGTCAGGCTTGAACTAGATACGTCCGTCTTCGACCTAGACCTGGACTGCAAAACAACAACATGATACCCAAGAAAGTCCGGCAACGTGCGACCAATGCTACGGTCGCTTACTTCACTATTCGCTCAATAAGAGCAAGAGGAAATTTTATCTCGTTTCTTAGACCATAACCCATCATTGCCTCGATGTATTAACGATCTCTGAATCTTGACCCATCCATCAGCGATTGCGAACTGCAAGTTCCTGAATATACATTGTTTCGGCAAGATCGTGGGCCATACGGCGGCGGTGTATGTGTCTACATCAAGGATGTTTTAGAGGCCTCTATTGACAAAAATTTCTAACATCTCATCTACAAGACTGAATTAAGATCGTGATAACTTTCTTATGGATCTTTCTCATGAAAGAACTCAGGAGAAATCTCAGAATCGATCATTTTACTTAACCGAGACGGCCTTACTTCGCTTTACAAACGACATTTCAGAACACGGATGAGGGTAACTTTCATGGATTGTGTCGTTAAGTATATCAAAAGCATTTGATAGCATCCAGTACGAGCGCCTACTTGTTAAACTCAGACTAAGTTCGAGACTTTCTTGTCTCAGTTCAGGCAAACGCCATAATAGAGGATGCCATTTCTGATCCGTGGCCTTTGAATTTCGGGCCTTAAGGCTCTATACTAGGCCCTGCACTGTTTACAATGTGTATCAATAATCTACTGTCGGTTCTCAAGCTGGTAAATCTTCAAGTTATGCGGACGCACAAGTTTTCTTATCCCTCCTCTTATAAGGTTACCGATGCAAGCGTTGCTAACCTTCAGCTTTACTTGTAAATCAAAACCTTTCAGAAATATCCAGTTGGCGCTAGCATAATTTGTTATTGGTTAATCCAGAAACGATCAAACTCTTGTTTAACCGTGTTCCACAACTCTTGCGAAATTTTCTTCGTCTATTAATTTCTGTTACTGGAAATCTATGGAAAGGAGATTGAACCAGAACCTGTACATGTCGCTAAGGACCTGAGCGTTCATATTGACAAAACCTTAAGCCTTAGCGAACATACATATCAAAGCTTGTTTCGAGGTTTGTCCATAAACCTTTTCAAATTAACATAATTAAGCAATTGTTTGTGCGAAACAGAACTATACTTCAAATAAACATTACCTTTGCATCTATTCAGCCGTTTTATTGTTGACTATTTTGGGTAAAACGTCCAAGTCCAATAAAAATAAGCACAACTTGAACAGAACTTCGTGGGAAAAATCGTCCTCGGTGTGAAATTCGATCACATCTCATGGGATCTTTAATCACTTCAGTAGCTTTCCATCAAAAACTTTTAAACAATATCTCTTTTGTTCATAATTATTTTCACAATCGGGTGCCCAATGATTCGAATGCTATTTTTTCTTAGGTTTACAGACTCACAATAGACGACTCAGAACTATTGTAATCAACACACGACCTAAATTCTGCCACACTGTCGGTCGGTGAAATTCGCGCCAGAAAAAGTCGTGCCGGAAAATGTTGCGCTCGAAAACGACGTGAAAGAAAGTTGAAGGTGCTCTAAAGAGAAACTGAGGTGGTGAAAATGAAGTTGACGAGAACCATTACGTATGATTGCTTTGAATACTTTCCAGGTCCCCTGTTCTTTAACTAGACGTCGTAACAGCAAAGAGTCTGGGACGAGGCTCCTAAGAACATTGTGCGAAGTGTAGCTGACATGTCACGCAGAATAGCACTGCTATCAGCAGCTCTTAGATCATTCCGGTCGATTTCATTCGTCAAGACGGGGAACACACTTGGCAATACGATTGAGACGGTGAGGCCACCTCCTGAAGACATGGCAGATAGCGAAACGCTGACGGCAACTTTTGCTATGAGCTGATTTTGGTTCCCCGAGGCTCAGTTTGGATGCGCTAATGGCGTCGTCCGAACTAAGGTCGGATACACTGGAGGATCCAAGTTATTTCCGACCTACACAAGCCTGTGAGTATTTAAGTTACCAGCCAAAGTTGAACCTGTCGAAAATATTATCCTCCTGTTTAATTTATTTTATTATTTTAAGCGAAATCGGACAGTGTTAAGAGAAAATAAATCACGCATTTCGATTATTGCATTGCATAACAACATTACTCGATCGTCTAAGTTATGTGATGTTTTACGATGTATACATGGTTTAAACTTTAGGGGTAGGCTCATATTTGTAGAGAATTGCGTAAGGCAAAAATATTAGCTGTTCTTTTATTTCTCAGTGTCACAATTTCTTTCAAAACCATTAGCTATCGGAAGCTTTTACCTTGCTGAGTCATGGAACGTAAATAGTACGTTACCGCAAGTTGAAATTGTTTATGTCGTCATGAGAGATGATATTTCTTTAGTCATAGTCACATCCACACCTTAAGCGGTTCACAGCACCTGTTTAATGAGAATTTGTGGACATAAAATATTCGCTGTCGATAAGCTTCTTAGAGTTTTCATGCTGATTCACTCTGTCAAAGACTACAGGGCTTCATGCTCGACTTCTCTCTGGTTCACCATTTAATTTGGTGATCTAGAATTATTGTCACGAAAAAAATGATACAGGAAAATTTATTACTAGCAGGAAAAAATGTCGGGAGGATAAAAAAATTATAAATAACAAATTCCAGCCAATTTTGTTGTGTAGACTCCAATCATAGTTTGCAAAAAATGAGGTAAATGTAGAGATAAACAGCATTGAGATTGTAATATATTGGTGTAGTGTTCATCAAGAGGATGGGTTTCAACATTGAAAAATTTTTGAGTTTAGACTTTCGTCAACTTGCATGATTAATAACTTGTTACTATCCAAGTGTAAGGGCTGAACTGGGGAATATTGGCCCAAGGTTGTGGCAGTGTGTGCCAAGTGAAAGGAAGTATGTACAAAAATGACAGGGGGCCAATATTCTTTGGTGTGGCTTAAGGAAGCAAGGTTAGTAAGTAGATATTATACAGTACTTGGACTAACTTTGTTGTTGTTGTTTTTTAATTGCTGGCATGCGAGATGAACTTTACAAGGCCTATGAACATTTCTGTGGAAATGGTTTCTGTGGCAAAATCCAGACCAAGTAAGAGCTGGACTACCCTGCCTTGTAATAATTTCCTTTATTTACTTTGACTCGTTCTATGTCAGTGGGGACCATACAGAAACCTTGGAGTTGGAGTATGACCCAAACTGTACAACTTACAAGGATCTGTTGAAAATATTTTGGAAAAATCACAACCCTACAGCAGTCCATAAAGCTCAGTACATGTCAGCCATTTTTTATCACAACGAGGATCAGAAACAACTTGCAGAGGAGACTCGTGAGGAACATCAGAAGATAGTCAAAAGAAAGATAGTAACAAAGATCCTTCCAGCAAACACGTTCTACGTAGCTGAACAGTAGGTGTTTTAATTTCAATTTTTTTTTTCCACAACATATCACTTTGATCTTTACAGATACATGTATAAACCAAATAGTTAACAGTGCTCCAAGCACTGGTTTTTCAAGTTGCTGTTTTGTCACCAAAAATCAGAAATGATCCCTAGAAATTGAACTTTTTTGAAAATGTTGTTTTGGACACTGCTTAAATTCTGTTTAACTTACTAAACTGCTGATCATACCACTCTCTTTGAAATAAACAATTAAGCTGTGATGTGGCAGGCTTTTATCTCAGACTTACATGCAGTACTTGCACCAATAAGGAGATAGGGAAAACAAACCAACACAAATTACCTTTTGGGCAAATTTTTCCCGCCAAGGAGTACTTTAAACGAGTTTTAATAAACTGTTGAAAAGCTGACAAAATATTTGGGGGTGGGGGTAATTTGTATTATGTTGGACTGGTGTCCTATCTAGAGAAGTATCAGAACTCTCAGTTGCCTTTCTTTGGAGAAGCTTCTGCCCTATTGGTTGCTCTTAATTCATGTCAGAAGACTTACCTTACTTATTTCCTAATGATTTTTGTAAAATTTCAAATTATCTAGATCCCAAATATTTCAAACTTTCCACTTCCCAAAGACTTTGGTTGATAACTGTCACCATGATAAATGTTACTTGCCAGTGGACATCTTAAGTCATTGTCATTGACTACAATATTCAATTTATTTATTTCCATTGACAGTTTAGATTATTAGTGGTCTGTCATTTGCAATAATGCTGATATGAAGGCAGTCAGCTATTTTTAAGATTTGTTCCAAAGAACAGAAAGAGTGGCTGATATTTTTAACTTGAAATGAAATCTTTGATATTCCAATTCAGATACCATCAAAAGTACATGCTGCGACAGCACCCCTTGCTGCTGAACAGTCTGGGCTTAAATGACGAAGAGCTGAAGAAGTCTCGGGTTGCAGCTCGTTTAAATGGTTATGTTGGAGGTTATGGTTCCATAAAGAGCTTTGAAGCTGAAGTGGATGGGCTAAAGTTAAGTAATCAGCAAATAGAAATGTTGAAAGAGATCATAGAGAGAAGAAGATTCTAAATCCAAGGTTTAAGTTCAGAAAGACTCTGTACTACAAAGGAGTTGCAGCTCTCTGTCATGATTTGTACTTCCTTAACATTGTAGCCTGGATTGATTTTTTAAGTTGGCAATTGTAAATCATGTTAATATTTACCACTGTTAGCTATTTCCTTCCCTTTTTAGTCAATTCTTACCTTGTTGGTATTCGTCTATCTGAGCAAATGATTCTTTCAATTTTTCATGACACGTAATAATGATTCTCTTTGATATTCAAGCTGGCTTCAAGGAAGATATTGTGATACAAAATTATTTTTGTTGACAGAACCATTACTTTGGAGCACTGTATTGAATTAAGTTTCCAACCATCTCATGTCAGTATAAAGTATTGATGCATACTTAGTACTCAATGTGATATCCCACTTCTTATGAAGTCCTGTAATTTAAACTGGGAAACAGTCTACAGGGTGGATGTTGTGAAATTACTGTGGGTAACTTTGAGTCTACTAGGTACTAATTGTAGATGGGAAATTTTAAGTTTGTGCACCTGTATTAGTATGGGGTTCCTGAAGTAAACTTGAGAGTCAGAATACTGGTTGTTGTGTTGGATTTTTTTCTTTTATCAGTCTTAATCAGGGATATCTCAGTTGGAGACATCACACCCCATCAATTTACATTGTTGGAAGCTTTATTGAAAGTTCTGTATTTGAGCACAGGGGGGGTCATCGTGTAGTGTCAATTTCTCTCACAGTTGCTCTTTTCTTATTGGGAGTTTAAATTGAGCACCAGCAAATTGTCAGGTAAGCCTGACAGTATCAATGCAGGGAAAACCTGGGATAGACTTAAAACTAGCCATGTAGCACACTCTGATTAAAGAAATACTATAATAGAAATACTTAATTCAATAAAGGCCTGTTTAGGAGGAGGAGCTGTAACAGGGTGGGCTTAATCACTTAACAATGGATGGAATAGAATTAATAAAGAGCAGTTTTCAATTGAGTGTTGGGAAAGTAGCACCAAAGCAATCACAGGGACCAATCAGAGCAAAGGTGCACATTATCATAGTGAACTAGAAGTCAAAAGTGGAAATAAGCAAACTGCTTGAAACAAGGGAAAAGTTGAATGATCAAGGCACAAATTTTTTGTTAGTATCACATCTGATTGAGAGGATGGCACAAGTTCTGTGGACCAATCACAGAGCAAGATAAGTAAAACCAATGCAATCCAGGATTACTTTGGGCATTCATTTGAAAATTTCTCTTTCACAATCACACCAACTTCCTTCCAGAAGTTCCACTGATCCTTTGATATGCCACTCATAATATCACAAAGATGAAAATTGTTCATCTTAGAGAGGTTGTCTGGCATTTAACAATGATTTGATTAGAACATTAAGACATCTCTTTCCCTATGGAGCTTCAGTTTTATTCTTACCCATATTTTTTTCTCTGCTGATTTGGGCCATTTCCACTAAATGTGGGTAGGCATGCAAATGATGTAATTTCACAGTTACAGAAAATTTGCCATCTCATTTGCTATGTTTTCCCAGTAGTTCACTTAATATCATTGCCTTGTTGAAAGCCTCCTTTGTTGTTTGCTTTCAAAATTTGATCTTGTTATCCTTCAGCTTTCTACTTTCTAAGTTGTGCACCCCTTTGTGAGAAAATCCTTGATCCACCCAATAGGGCTCATTTCTGACAGACTGTAAAATAGTTAAAGTAGGTGATCCAAGTGGAGCTCAGTTTCAATGGAAAGGTATAAAATACAAAGTACAAACAGGCAAACGTTCAAATGCCATCAGCTAGTATCAAAGATGATGCAAACAACACTGGGTATCATTGCACTTTAAACTAAACGGATTGAAGGATACGCAAACTGCTGTTGTGGTTCCAGCCAATGCCAACACCTGGTTGACTTAGCATAACACTGACAGCACAGACATCACTCAGAAATACGTGTATAACATGTCACTTTATTAACAAAACAAGCTTGCACATCTCATTTGCACAGAGCTGCAACTAGACCATGTTAATTTCAAATTGTTTCTCTTTTTTACTTTCTAAACTATGATTTTAATCGGACTTGTCCTTTTTACACCTTTTAGTACACAATGTAGCATGTCTATACCTTGATCTGTACATTTGTTGTATGAAAGGTCTAAGGAATTGACTTTACAATTTGGGTCTTCAAGTACAGAACACAGAGATGGTATGAACTGATCTGTTAACTTATTTTCGCTTATATTCAACTCAGTGAGTTTGCAATTTTCATGTTTTAGAGACATGCAAAGCTGTGATGCACCATAGTCTGTAACATGGTTATGCCAAAGGTTCAAAACAGTGAGCTTACAATGTGCATCTTTAAGAGCATCCAAGAGATGTATTATACTTTGGTCTGTTAAGTTGTTTCTGCCAAGGTCCAACTCAGTGAGTTTACAGTTTTTATCTTCAAGAGCATCAAACAGGTTAAAAAAGCTTTCACCTGCTACCTCATCAGAATAAATTCCCAACTTGGTGAGTTTACAATTTACATGTCTAACTGCAGTGAAGAAAAGAGAAACACCTTGGTCTGTTATAGATTGACCACCAAGGAACAACTCTGTGAGTTTACAATTTACATCTTCAAGTGCACTGCACAGGTGTTGCAAACCTTCATCTGTTATGAGACGGCCACCAAGGTACAACACAGTGAGTTTACAATTCATGTCTTTCAGTGCACCACACAAGTAGAATAAGTCATCATCTTCCACACCAGTTGATATCAGATCAAGCTTCACTAGTTTACAATTTTCATCTCTGAGTGCGCTAGACATTGGTAACAGAACACTTTGTTCACCATAAAAATTCAATGAATCCCCCTTGATCAGTGATTCAAAACATTCCCAAATTAAATCTGAAGGGTTTCTAAGCTGATTTTCAGCAAGGTTCAACTGCAAAAGCTTACAATTCTTATTTCTGAGCGCAGTTTGCAGGTAGGAAACACCTTGCCCTGTTATTGCATTGTGACTTAGGTCCAAATCAGTAACTAAACAATTTTCATTTATCAGAGCATCACACAGATGTGCTAAACCTTCATCTTCTATCCCATTGCCACGAAGATCCAACTCCAAAAATTTACAGTTTTCATCTTTAAGTGCATCACTTAAGTGAAATACACCCAAGTTACCGATGTCATTTACTTCAAGATTCATTTTTGTAAGTTTACAGTTCACATCTTTAAGTGCGACAGACATGCTTAATGCACCGCAGAAAGATAACTTGTTTCCTATAAAGTCCAACTTGGTCAGTTTACAATTTACATTTTTTAATGCTTCACACAAATGGAAAACACCCTGGTCTGTAATATCAGTTTCAACTAGGTCTAACTTTTCAAGTTTGCAATTTACATCTTTGAGTGCTTCACTCAGCCGTGAAACACCTATATCCCCCATACTATTGCCACCAAGGTCCAACTTGGTGAGTTTACAATTTGCATTTTTAAGTGCATCCTGCAGATGTGATGCACCTTGGTATCTTATGTAGTTACCAGAAAGCCTCAGCTTAGTTAGTTTACAGTTAGCATCCCTTAAAGCTTCACTGAGTTGTGAAACACCTTGGTCCTGTATTTTGTTGACACCAAGGTCTAGTGTGTTGAGTGTACAGTGTCCATCTCTAACTACACTGCACAGGAATGAAACACCTTGGTCTGATATATTGTTAGAGGACAGGTTCAACTCCATGAGGTTGTGCAGTTTGTTAATAAAGAAAACAATTGCTGCACAGTCAACAGGTGTTATTTCAGAATAAGATAAATCTATCTTATTGTTGAAAGTTTTGTTTTTCTGTAGAAGTGATGCTGCCTTTTCCACAATTGTAGCATCATTGTACTCATGCAAACATTTCATCATAAGAACAGCTTCTTGTTTGGATTTACTACTAAATGTTAAAGAGTCACAAAGAGTTATGTATGTTAAAGAGTCACAAAGGAGGCTTACAAAACTGCTGACTGCCTCATTTGTTTGTCCACGCAGAAGGCCAGCCACAAACTGAAGTACCAAGTGCCACTTTGGATCTGAAGCATTTGTGAGGATGAAATTACTAATGTCCTTGGACTCCATCTTCACTATTTCTTTGGCAGCAAGAAATTCCTGAAGAGTCAAATGAATGAAGCAGAATTGGGACTTCAATTTGAAAGGTAAAACTTCACAATCTGGCATACGATTGAACAACCCACAGTCTTCTATTCCCTTCACCTCCACTGAGTCAAACATCAGTCGTCTCTCCTGAATTCCTGTTTTTGCCAATGATCCAACCCGGTTCAAAGTTTCTTCAACTTGATCAGGGAGGCCCACATTTCCAAGAAGATAATCCTTTGTTAACAACTTCCTCTTAAATTCTGGGTGATGCTTGAAAATGAACAGCCTCAGAGCTCCTTCATAAATGTCAGTTGAAGTTGCTGGTAGAGTATTTCCTAAATGTTGTTGAAGTTTGATCAACTTTTCTAAAAGGGAACAGATAATAAAACTGTTGACAGGAATGTAGCACAAAGAGAGCAGTTCTAAATTGCTGCTGATATGACCCCATATTCTGTTCACTGTCTCTGGATCATGTGCACAAAATTTAAGTACATATTCGTGGACTTTCTCTGGAGTAAATCCCATAATCTCAACCTTCCTGTCAAATGGCAAATGTGCAACACTCTGCACAACATTTGGTCTACACGTGGTCAAAATCGTGGCCCCAGAAAGCTGCTTTCCTTTCATCAGCTTCACGTAAAGAGCTGAAAATGGCATTTCTTCTGTTGCACTGTTTCCAGCATGTGCCCTTTCATCCTCCAGAATGCGTTCGTGGTATTTAAATTCATCCAAGCCATCAAAAACAAATAACACTCGCTCAGGGTTGTCTAAAATATGCTGTAAGACTTCACTGTCCATGCTACCTTCTGAATACAAACGACTCAACAACTGTTTGAGAGATATCTTCTCCATTGTCTCGGTATTGAACCATCTGAATTGGAACACAAACAGATGTTGAAAGATTTTGTCACTGTCACGCAAAAGATCACTCTTGCTCCAGTCACGCGACAATTTCGTGCAAAGCAGAGACTTTCCGATGCCGGGGCGACCAACCACGAGAATTTTACGGGGATCTCGAGTATCTTCATTTGGAAGAAAAAGCTCATCAACTTTCTTTATGGCTATTGATCCATACTGGGGCTTTAAATATATATCAAATATTTCGTGTCTTTTCAACAAGTCAGCGAATTCGCTACATGCTCTTCCACTGTAAATAACAAGATCGACAAAAGCGTCATCCAAAAGTCTGACTCTCTCTATTTCTGGCTGAGCAATTAAAGGTTCAAGGATCTCTGTTTCTTCGCGTATTCGTTGTCTCGTCCGGAATGTCAACTCGCTCAGCGCAATAGGGTTCCTACCCTTGCTAAAAAAGTGCCTCTCACAGAATTCGGAATCGAAGATGAACTGTTTTCTCTGTATTGCTCGAAACGAAAGATAGCATATCTCTCCAAACACAAGCAACGTAAATAGAATGTTCACTATCCAAATTCCTCTCGCGTAGACAGCATTGTCAGATGCAATGGAGTTATCACAGTT